GTTTCCCTTCCCCTGCTCTTGAAGCAAGGCTCTCTATGGCATTAAACCAACTCTGTCCCGGTGGCTCCACCGTGATATCAGACACTGGCACCTTAGAAGTGATTCTCACCAGCAAAGTCATCCTTATTTCAATGAGAAAACTGGATTATCTTCTTTGAAATTTAGGATGGTAGGGAGAAAAGGGCCAATCTTACGAAAGCAAGGGCTTGGTTTGCACTTTCAGCTTCTCCTGTGCTTGGTCATTCTCCGAGTAGCATCTTCGCTTGCCCAAGGATCCAACCATCACCTCCAGCCCACTGGCTTTGGAACTGAAATTTATTAGGGTATATGTAGTTTAACTGTGGCAAGAAAAGCAGAGAGGGAATTCTCAGCAGACAATGCTTTCTCAAAGATATATTTTATTTTATTTCTTGACAACCAAACAGATGGAAATATTTGCCCTCAGAGTTAGAACAGTGTTAGTGTTTGTGATTTATGAGAAAGTTTAGAAAGGATAACTAGTGTCTGGAGATTCCCTGTTCTTAGCAAACACCTTTCCACTAAATTAACGAGATTTATTTCACACAAGCTGAGGGTTGAAGTTCTTTTTTTATTCCATATTTTGCAGTACCTGTGTTTCCCCGAACAATTTTGCACAAGATTTTCAGCAGATCTCAGGCATTGAATGCAGCCATTGTCAATACTCAGAATATCAGAAAAGAAGGGTAAAAAAATATTCTCCTGGGACTCTGCCCAATCTACTGGGTTTAAACTAATTTTTAACTTACAGATCTCTGCAAGACAGGAAGGGTCAGAAATGGTCCCATTAATCCCCAAATTGTCTGGATCAGCCCCTTCCCAAGAGTTGTGAGCACCCATCAGGAAAGCTGGTGATTTTATCTAAGCAGCTGTTTTGTTTCTGCGTGTGAAGTCAGAGCAATTGCTACCTTGCAGGGTCATGTTTGCCCTCAGAGCAGCAGGTCCTGCAGCAACAGTATAGAGAAAAACACAGGGAAGAAAATATGACTTTTTCATGCTGCAGGGAGCCGAATTCCAGACAAATCCAGGGAGCTGGTGCGGTATGGGAGGATGTAGGCTCTTAAAGGCAAGAATAGCAGGCACAGGCTGGACAGTACAGCACAAATGAGATCTGCTCGCAGCACTGCAGGCTTTGGGGGACATGAAACACCACATTTTCACTTCTACAGAAGCAGCACAGAGACTCTAAGACAGCACAGAGCATCCCAGGAAAATTCCTATGGGGAATCTCCCTGGGGCAGAGCCCAGAGCAGTGGCACATGGGGTGGTCTGGGGTATTGTCAGCCCTCGGGTAAGAGGTGGTGCTTTATATGTTTGCTGATATCTGAAGAGTTTCATAGGGATTTTTGATACATTCCAAAAATACGTGGAAGTCATTTCAAGAAGAGAGAATTTCAAGAACCTACCCCTGTCTTTCAGGCAGCAGCATCTTCAGGCTGAGCAGAGATGGGAGGCCGCTAAGTGGTGCTGTTGGCACCAGCAGAGATGCTGGGAATAAGAAAAACGGGAAAATGAATCCAGCCCTGGGGAAATACGGCAGCAGCTCAGGGGTATCGGAGGCCTTGGAATGATTGTGGCCATCGTGGATGCCCTGGACGTGGTGATGGGAAACGTTACAGTCACACGTCCATGTGTCCCACTGCTTCTTTTGAGTTTAATCTGTTCTCTTTGCCAATGTATGCAGCAATGTGCTTAGACTAAAGGAGTCTAAGGAGGTTCCTGTGCTATGAGAATCAGAGGCAATAAATATCATTTGTCAACTCTTTTGATTTAGAATACTCTCCTTCAACGAATCCAGTCAAACACAATCAACAATACAGAGCAGTCAGCACTCTCTTACTGCTCATCCAAACTAGCAATACTTTATTTTGCTATACAAGGAGTGGGGAAGGATGCACTTCCATGCCCAGAAGTAGTGACATACTCAATATTGCCATCAAAGGCCTGATATATGCCCTGATTCCTCCCTGCCCCTTTCTCCTTCACTTTCGTTTTTGCAAGTACGGCACCCCTAAAGCAGCTCCCAATTTTCCATTCCAAAGCCACCTCATAAGCTCCTGACTTTTAGAGCTGCCAGAAGGGAGAACCTCTCTACAGGGAACCTGCTGGGAGTTGCTTTTAAAGGCTTGAAGCAGCCCAGCCTTGTCGGACTCGGGATGTGCTCTGGTAGGTGTCAGGGTTGAGCCAAACCTCAGCAGGGGCCGAGGTGAGCAGCATCCTCCTGACACCCATCCCTTGCAAAGCTGCTTGCTGCTGTTTTTGGGGTCCTGCAGGATCCCACCTGTCAAAAGCAGACTGCAATGGGGTTAACATGAAGAATTCCTCCTCATTCCCAGCTGCAACAGGAAAAGAAGCCAAGAGGAAAATCACTTGGGTCAGTATTAAAGGGAGTGAGGCAACCCTTGGGCCTCTCATCTTGGGCACCGTGGGACCCTCTGCTTAAAGCCCAGGTAGTTTTAATAGACAAGGTCTTTGGGTGACATTTTCCGGAAGATTTTAAGTAAATGCCTTCCCATAACATTTGAGATCCGGTGTCTCTTGGTTTCCATTATTCTTTTTCTTTTTAAGCCACAGGCACACACATACAAAATATATTAAAACGAGCCCAGCTTAGTGGAAAGGTCGTCTGGTTCAGAAACAAGCAGCGGGGATTTAGGCTGAAGCTCTGGTGCATCTCCATCTCTGCCTCTGTTTGCGGGGAGCGTGGCTGAAAACCCCACAGGGATCAGAGGTGCAAGAAGGAAGAAAGCGCTTTAAAATGTCTGAGATAGCTTCGGGTCTGGGATTGCTCTCACTGCTCCCTTGTCCTAGCCATGAAACTGGGGCAAATCTCCATAATCTGGTGTAATTTTGAGAGCCACATCATTGTGGTGTGCCCAGGCTCAGGGGTGGCTTTTAGCAGAGAGTTGCATGTGCTTGGGAGAGGAGCAGCATCTTGGCATCCTTTGTATATAGCCTCATCTTTCAGGGACACCTGGAAAAGAGTGAGCCCCAGGTCCATCCTCACAGATAGTAATTTCAATTATTATCCAGTTAGGGATTCTAATTTCACTGAGACCACTCCTGGGATCTTTTTTGCATGGGTTGTTTTTATCCCAGGCTGTGGGATGAAGGAGTACAAGAGTTGTCCCTGCTAGTAAGAATGCTTCAGCTGTGGCTGAAATAGGTTCACCAAGTAATTAATGGAATATATTAAATTAATCAGCTCATAGAAGCATCCTGCTGTGGCATTTACTGATCAGAGCACCCAGCCTTTTCATTAGGGATAGGTACGCTTCCAGTGCACTTTTATAGAAGGAGATATCTTGCAATAAATACCTGCTGGATTTAAAGCATACGTGCTTTAAAATTAGAGCAGCAGATGGGCATCTTATTCCTGGGGTAGCTCTGGAGAAGAGCTTGTTCCTTTGGACATCACTCGATTGACATGACCGGCCCTTCCCTTCCTGTCCCCCTCTCCTTCCCCAGTATCAATATTCTTGATTCTTCTTGAGAAGCCATCCAAGAAAGAGCAGCAACTGGTGACACCAGCTGGGAACACCAGTCCTGATGAGCCAATCTCCGATAATGGAAAATTCATGACAGAATCTTTTAAATGAAAGGAACATTGGTACTGAGAGAGATTATTAGTCATTCTTTAAACTAGTGTGGGATGAGTGCTAGAAAATATTTCTCTCCCTATTTGTATGACTAAATAGATCTGATTTTGTTTAGCCTTCTGCAGGGATCCTATCTGCCAGAGCTGGAAGGAGGGAAGTTTAAGGAAATATTGACTCTTGGAGGCAGGGTGGAGAGTTTGCAGCCTGCGAGCCCTGGTGATGTGGTTGACTGCAGGACTAGGTGCAGTCTTGCATCCGACAGCTACATGGTCTGCAGGACCTTGGCATGCTCAGCAGGTTCACAGGGACCAGTGTTTGCCAATGAATAGTTTGAGCAGTTATGGCCAAATCGATGATTCCTTGGGAGTGATTTTTCCAGATCTCTCCGAGGCACTTGTGAAGACTCAGTTCATGAAGATAAGTGAATGGACAACGAGCTAACGGGTTTGCTGGTGCCATGTCCCTGGCCTGAGAGGGGGTTTCCTCACTGCAGGCTTTGGGTGCCCATCCCTGGGGGCTGGAAGGGGACACCCCTCGTCCCCTTGGCACTGCCATGGCACTGCCCCACTCTGTCCCTCTCTGTACATGTGCACCGGCCACAGAGCCGCTCAGGGAGGACCTTAAATCCCCAGATTTGTGGGTCTGGGCTAGGGGAAAAGCCACCGATGGGGACCAAAGCAAGGGAGCTCTCTGCTGTCAGCGCCCTGTCATGGGGCTGTGGGGACACCATGCACATCGGGGCAGAGGCAGCTCTTTCCAGGTGGCTTTTTGCCTCCTTTAAAGCATTCTTGCCTGCAGGAGCCACGGCATCAGGGTGGGTGCTGGGGGCCATGGGGATGCCCAGAGGTGATGGAGCATCCCCCCTGCCTCCCCTCCTGCACTGCTGGCACCCCCACAGCCCCTGCTCTGGGAAGTCCCTGTGTTTGCTTGGGATGGGGAAGGGGGGTCCCCGCAGGGGGGATACAGAGCGCGAGGAAGTCCCGGGATGAAGGGGCAGATGGTGCCTCCCTGCGCTGCCGTGAGAGACACGATGTGTGTGTGTGCAAGGGGTGCAGGGGGTACAGAGGGGCTCCTGCCCTGCCAGGGCCCGTGCGGGTGGCAGGCAGCGGCTGGAACGACGCGGCTGAGCGCAGCGAGGCTGCTCCGCCGCCTGTGCCTGCTCCTGTGTGTGCCTGTGTGTTTGCGTGTGCGGCTCTCACTCACACACACACACACACAGAGGCAGCCCGGGAGCTGCAGGCGCCTCCTCCCCGACGCATTAAAACGAGCCAAGTTTCCACGTCGGGGCTCAGAGGCACCTCGCGGCGCGGCCGCGGAGCCAGCGCGGGCCCCGGGCAGCGCCGGGACCGGGACCGGGGCTGGGACCGGGGCTGGGCAGGGGGGATGCACCTGAACGCCACGGCCCCGGCCGCGCCGGGCGGCCCCCTCCGCCTGCAGCCCCCGGGCTATGCCCTGCCGGGCGGCAACGCCTCCAACCGCTCCGACCTGCTCCCCAAAGGACCCGACGAGGAGGACCTGGACGTCAACACTGACATCTACTCCAAAGTCATGGTGACGGTCATCTACCTGGCTCTCTTCTTGGTGGGCACCGTGGGCAACTCCATCACAGCGTACACGCTGGTGCGCAAGAAGTCGCTGCAGAACCTGCAGAGCACCGTGCACTACCACCTGGCCAGCCTCGCCTTCTCCGACCTCCTCATCTTCCTCCTTTGCATGCCCATCGAGCTCTACAACTTCATCTGGGTCCACCACCCCTGGGCTTTCGGGGATGCTGTCTGCAAGGGCTACTACTTCCTCCGGGATGCCTGCACCTACGCCACGGCGCTCAACATCGCCAGCCTCAGCGTGGAGCGCTACATGGCCATCTGCCACCCCTTCAAAGCCAAGAGCATCATGTCCCGCAGCCGCACCAAGAAGTTCATCAGCTGCATCTGGATCGCCTCCTTCCTCCTCGCTATCCCCATGATCTTCACCATGGGGGAGAAGGGCAAGGAGCAGCAGCCCGACTCCATCATCTGCACCACCATCGTGGACGCATCCACACTCAAGACCGTCATCCAGGTGGGGGCCCAGGCGAGCGGGCGGGGGGAGCCCCAAACTTTGCGGGGCGGGCGGGGAGCGGCGGGGGGGG